CTGCACTATAGCGTTGAGCCTAAATTTTAGCAAGTCTATTTATATTTTTTAATTACTAAAGCAATATATTTTAAACCATTTTTAAAAAATATGTGTAAAATCATAATTTATTTTTAATATCTATGATTTTATATTGATTTAGAAAAAATCGATGTAAATTTATATACTTTTAGATCTATTTTTAAAAATAGAATAGGATTAGCTGATTCATTGGACCGACCTTGTATTTAACACTAATTGCATAAGTTTGAAAATGATTTTTGAAAGAAAGAATTTGAAATAGTATCTTTTAAATACAAATAAGAATATTTACAAAATACACAGACTATAATTTCTACACTTGATTTTTTGTGAGTGTTTGAAAACGAGACATTAAAAAAAATTGCTTGACCGCATAAAACTATGCACTTGACAAATGTTTTTTTTATAAGAAAATTAGTTAAATTTAATGATTTTATCTTTACAATATTGTAGAAACAAAATTGAGAATATTACCATACATTGACAATAATTTTTTTATAATTTAATTTTGTCTAGTTTTTAAAAAAATTTTTTTACCAAAAAATAATAATTAGAGCATATAATTTGTACATGAGATATATATAGTTAATTAATTAGTTAAATTTAGGGTTTTAACATATTCAACATAAAAATATTGACAATAAACATTATAGTTCATGATAAAAAATATACATCGGATAAATATTTGTGAATATATATATATATATATATATATATATATATATATATATATATATATATATATATATATATATATATATATATATATATATATATATATATATATATATATATATATATATTAACACCATGAACATAAATATGAAAATAATCTATATATGATATTGAAGAACATAACAAATGACAAATATAGAATGATAAAAATATTTTTTTTAGGCATGATAACTAGTTAGGTTATAAAATCAAAGACTTCATTGTTTTGAATCATCTTAAGGATTTCGAAACTCTATCTCTTTAAGATCTAACTCAAAGCAGTATTTGAAACATTCCTAAAAATTTCACCATTTTTAATTTTTACTAGAGATAACAAATGATATTTTTAAAATCACTCTCCCTCTTCATGAAACAGATGAAGACACACTCAAATTTAGAAAAATTCAAATAATGGAATATTTAAATTCTAAAATGCATACGGATGACATAATAATGAAAATGCAGAAGTTAGTTGGATCAAAACTATTTGCTATTATATTTCGCTTGTAAAATCTCACATTTTTTAGACTTATACATAATGTAATTGTCACATATAAAAATCATAGAAGAAGGGGGAATTACATAATTTCTAATTGTTTCATCTGCATTCAAGATTTGGAAACTTCTCTGCACCTCTTCTTGAACTGCAATCACACATTGCAATTATCGACATGGTAGAAATGTTTGTTATGCATGCAGCTTATTCTTTACAACATTTCTAAACGAGAGTGGACCCTTCAACTCTATAATCTAATTATTGCAAGCATTTCATAAACCATCTAAAAAAATTAACACACAAAAAATCAACTTAGATTTAAAGAAGCTCTAGAAAAGCATTGGTAGATATAAAGAATAACATTCATAGCCACTACAATAAAAATAACCTTTTTATCTCGGTTGAAAAAAAGAGTTTACCTCAATTTCATAAGTGTGGTAACGAATGGAGTCATGAAAACTTGCCACTTTATCACTCAGGTAAAGTTTCACTAAGGAGAAAATGAGACCGGTCATGGACTAGATCCCTAGCAAAAGTATTTTTTGGATTTTCAAAACGTGTCACTTTTTCCCTTGGTTGAAATTAATACCCGAGGGATAAAATCATATTTACAAAACTTTAGTTTTAACTTATTTTATTTTTCATTTTAATCTACAAAACATCAATTTTGTTGAAAAATTCTAAATCTTCCTCCTCTTCATCAACAACAACAATAAAAAAAAAAATCAATAGAATCTTTTAAACATTAAATCTCAACAACAACAATAAAATTAATAAAATCGTTAAAAATCAAATCTCAACAACATCAACAAATAAACAAAATTAATAGAATCGTTAAACATTAGATTTCAACAACAACAATAAAAACAATATTAAACGTTTTACTTGATACAACAACAACTAACATTAATAAGTTATATTCATGTTTTCCTAACTATCATTAAACATTTTTAACAAGGAATTATTAGAAAAAATATTACATTAAGGAATCAACCTTGAAACATTTTCGTGCTCTTGCAATTCATCTCAGATAATGGTGTTGTACTTCATGTAACTACTTTTCATTATCATTGTTTTCATCATGTTAAATTTACATTTCAGCAATATGCATCTAAGATGGATAGTTATGACATTCACATTGTAATTTACTACTGAGAGTTTCATGTAGATCACTGATGTTTCATGTGCATTGATGAGTTGACAATGTGTTGACCATTGTTACTTTATAAATGGATGACAAAGATTAGTTACTTAATTTTTTCACCAAATTGGACAATAAATAAATAAATAAATAAAATATGCTATCCCCCCTCCCCAGTTCCTAACTCAACCGGGATAATAGATCATAAAAAAATTAAATGGTTCTAAAATGTAGTTGCTGGAATTCGAAGGCGTGTCCTCTAAATATTTCACCCCTCAGTTGTCAGCTCAACCGAGGTAATAGGTAATAAAAACATTTAAAAATAAATTAAAAGGTGCTAAAATGCAGTTGATGGGATTCGTGTCCTTGAATACTTTTCTCATTGGGTTCCAACTTAATTGAGGGAAAATATGATCTTTTTTTAAAAAATAAAATAAAATATGACGTGTCTATGGTCTACACCTCATTTTGTTGTTGTTGGCTGAGGTGAATGCTTTGTCAATAACACTTACACATGATTTTTATTCATTTGGAGAAGGCGTATCATAAAGTTCCTAAAACTATTTTGTGCAAAGATCTATTGAAGAAAGATGTTAGAATTGCATATATTTGAGTTATCCAAAATATGTATGAAGAGATATCGACTATGGTGCAAACATGGAATGAAAAGAAGGAGAATTTTTCCATTACAATAGGTTTGTATTAAAGTACAACCCTAACTCTCTTCCTTTTTATTTTAATTTGGATGTACTCACAAAACACATCTATGAGCACCACGATGCATGTTTTTTATAGATGATATAGTCATATTTGAAGAGTCAGTGGACGATTTAAACAAGAAGCTAGAGACTTTGAGACAGACTTTAGAAATGCATGACTTTTACATAATTAGAAGTAAGACAGGTTATATGAAATGCAAGTTGGATAAAAAGAGAAGTATTTCTAACTTAGAGGTGAAATTTAAAGACCGTATCATCCCATAAATCATGTGGTTTAAATATCTTGGGTCTGTAATACAAAACGACAGAGAAATATAAAGAGATTTAAACCATCGAATTCAAGTTGGGTGGCTGAAATGGATGAAAGATTTAGAGGTTTTATATGACACAAATGTACCACTTAAGTTGAAGAATTTTTTTATCGAACTGTAGTAATACCTACAATGTTGTACAATATAAAATTTTGAGCGTTAAAAATCAACACGAAAATAAAAAAAATGTAACAAAGATGAAAATGTTGCGTTAAATGTGTGGAGATTAAACATGATAAGATTGAAAGTGATAATATTAGAAACAATGTAGGTGTAATATCTATAGTAAAAAAGATGATGAATAATATAAAGAAGACATATAAATTTTATAGTAAAGAGTCAAATATTTAGAGTTAAAAGAAAATCTAGAAAAACTTAAAGATATTTATTTAAAAAAAGTATCGTGATTAATAATTTGAATAAAAATATAATTTTAAAAAAAATAATATAAAAATTAAAAATCCATTGTGAATTTTATTAAGATACAAATAAATAGATGTAATTCTTGAAAATCATGTAGCACTGGTTCTCACAAATGCATTAATTTTATAGCATAAAATTTAATATAATTTCTTAAGGTGTTTCTTTATTATTTTTAAATAAAAATATGACAAATATATAATTTATTTTTATATTTATGTAATTTTATTTTATTTAAATATTAAGAAAAAGGAATATACACTGAAAGTAAAATATTTTTTATATTATCAATCAATGACAGACGTGTATTCTGTTACTTCACACTTTTATTATTAAAATACGGTTATGATTTGATATTTTAAAATAATCTAATTGGATGTATGTATAATATTTCCTTATACCGATAGTCACTACCTTTAAACTCTTAAATATTTATCATTTGTTTTTTAAAAATATAAAATTATGATTTAAAGAATGAGTTTAATGGTAGTGCACGATGTAAAAAAATATTACACATACATTCAATCAAAATATTTTAAAATACCAAATCATATAACTAATTTAAAATTTACATGATGACTTGGCGGGATACATAGTTGTCATCCGTGTAAAAATAATTTACACCGAAAGTGCAACATCCCTTTTCTCTTAAAGAATGCGTATAATGGTAGTGCATTGTCTTTGTAAAATAGTATTAAATATATATCCAATCAAAATATTTTAAAGTGTAAAAAATAATAATACATTGACAATGTAAATTTATTTTATACTGTTAATCAATGACAACGATATATTTTATAAAAAATTTTAAATTAATTATATAAAATAGCATAATACAATATTTTTATTGAATGACACTCTAAAATATTTTTACTTACATAACAATTAAACCAAAATTTACTCCAGTTTTATATTCCACATACCTTTCTATATTTGTCAAACATGAGAAACGTATAAGTGAAGTTTATCATCTTTCTCAGTTCCACTTTCCTTCTCCTTCACCACCTCTTCCAATCTCTCTCTAGCTAACTAGTCTCCATCACCTTTAATCCCTATCTCACCACCATTACTCAATTCCATCACCTAACAAGTATTAACAATGCTCTGATGTGATGATATGATCCAATACTCAATTCCAACGCCACAACCGGAGCTTCTTCAAGTTCCGGTCTAAAACAATGCCTTCCTTTCCCCCCAAATCACTCTTCAACGCACGTCAAACCATTTCATCTCGCACATCCTCATTCCTCGTTCTCGCCTTACTCCTCTTCTTCGGAATCATTCTTTTTCTCGCAACGTCTCGAAACGATCGCTGTTTGAATAGAAACCCTAGATCTGTTCGCGTGCTATGGGATCACGGTACCGCGGTCACCGGTGGCAGAAATGCGGTTGTTGATGATAGACATAAGGTTATGGCGTTTGTTGGAATTCAGACCGGGTTTGGATCCGTTGGTAGACGTCACTCTTTGAGGAAGACTTGGTTTCCTTCGGATCCTGATGGACTTGAACGGTTGTATTCTTCTTCCTTTTCGAGTTTTTGGTATCCAATTGAATTTTGTTTTAGTTTTGATATTCTGTTAATCAAGAAAAAATAATGATGTTAATGTGTACAACTGTATCAAATTATTAACAATGTTTTGATATTAGGATAACGTGATGTGATTGTTTATATTGTAGCGTTGGGGTTTGATTAACTATTGTCTATTTGATGTACTTTTGTTACTGATGCAATTTGGGGTCTGAAAATGATATAATTTAATTAGGCTCATTTTGAGTAATTTCTTGCAGCTTGGAAGAAGCCACTGGTTTGGCTTTTAGGTTTGTTATTGGTAGAACAAATGATAGGTGGAAGATGTCTGCGCTTAAGAGAGAAATAGCTGAATATGATGATTTCATTCAATTGGATATTGAAGAGGAGTACAGTAAGCTCCCATACAAAACGTGTGTTCTGAGAATTGATAAACTGATGAGCTTGATGTCTGTAATGTGTTGCTAAGCTGAATAAGATCATTTGTTACAGGTTGGCTTTCTTTAAAGCTGCTTATGCTCTTTTCGAAGCTGAATTTTATGTCAAAGCTGATGATGACATATATTTAAGGCCAGGTGCAATATCTTCCAGGCTTTTACCTAGTTTAAATGTGGTGATTACCTTTTCTTGAGAGGCCAATACTTAATAGTTTTGCAACCTTTATTGTTAGATCGTCTTTCATTACTACTTGCAAAAGAGAGATCTCATTCCCAGACGTACATAGGATGCATGAAAAAGGGGCCTGTTTTCACTGATCCGAAACTCAAATGGTTAGTTTTATCTAGATCGAGTATATTTCATTTCCAACACTTTAATTGTGACCTTTCCTGGTTTAATTTTCTTGACTTTTCAATTTTCACCCATTTCGCTTTATGATAGGTATAGAACATTCGTTTGTTTAATTGTTTCTATCATCACATGCCATAAATATTAGAACTTTTCACTTTTGCATGATAATGTTCTTCTCTTCAAAATGAAATATAGATTACAACTATATTATCCGAGGGATTTACAAATCATTAATTACTAGCTCAAGAGATCAAAGTAAGAAATTTTACAAGAAGATGGAATTTTAATTAACCATCTCAGCTTCAAAGGGAAGGAAAACCACCCCTTAACCTCTTATTCTTCCCCCATTTCTATTTTAACCCTTTCCTTTTTTATTTCATTACTTCCCATACCTTCCAAACATTTTACCATATATTGGGGATCAAATCGTGCTACATCCAATATTTGTGGAGGCCTTAATTGTTATTTGCCTCCTTTTTTGGGTTATCTAGAGTGCTATCTTGCCCCTCTATAGGGACGATCAAAGATTTTTTGTATTCATTTTATAATCAGCATATTGGCTTCTTTCCCATTTGAACTAATGCTACCTGTAAATCTTGCAGGTATGAGCCGCTATCTAATTTGCTTGGAAAGGAGTATTTTCTTCATGCTTATGGTCCTATATATGCCCTTTCTGCTGATGTTGTATCAAGCTTGGTTGCTCTTAGGAATAACAGGCAAGCTTTTCTTTGTCCCTAACTTGATTTCTTGTTCACTTGAGCTTCAGCAGTTGGGAGCTTTACAAATAACTACCACTCTCTTTTTGGAGTATATTTGTTTTACTGACATTCACTGTAGTAACACATGATGCACTTGCTGATGATCAGATGTTGATTTTTATTCATATATTCTATTCCTTTTCTAGATTCGTGATTTGATGTATTGATATGGCCTTATTTGCATGTTACATATATGCTTTTCCACTATCTCACTTCTTGGGTTTTGCTTATTAGTTCACATGCTGGAATGAGATACCGTCTGCTCCACATCTTGTCAGAATTGTGTTTGGTTGGCCGGGTTGTAGACTATCTCCCTTGGTTTATATAGTTGTTCTCCGGTGAAAAAAAGCCAAGAACTAATGGAGATTCATGCCATGTGATCCTTGGGTTCATATTGTATAGCTGTTAAGGTAGTCTAGATATCAATGTATTGCAGTCCTGAGGTTCATTAGTCAATCTCTTACAAGCTGTAAATTTGTACTCTTCGCTCGATTTACTTCCTTAGATCATTAATTCTTTATCATCATAATTTTTCCTCTTGTCAAGTAATGATCAAATTGTGAATGTTTCTTACTAATTTTTTCAAATGAATCACTCAATTGCTTGGAGAGTTCAAGGTCATGAACTAAGCAGATTTCTTTCTCTATTTTTGTGCATCCTATTCATAAAGTATCATACTTTGGACCTTATAGATTAGCCATGAAGTGTTTTTCAGATTTTGTATTTGTTTCTCAAAGGAACAAAGACCACAATGCATAAACCTGATGATGCTAGTCTCCACTCTTCCATATTCCTAAAATTGTGAATCTAAAGCTTGCATCCTTTTTTTTAAACAGTTTTCGGATGTTCAGCAATGAGGATGTTACCATTGGAGCTTGGATGCTTGCAATGAATGTCAATCATGAGAATATTCACGAACTTTGTGCTCCAGAGTGTACATCAACATCAATTGCTGTGTGGGATATTCCAAAGTGTTCAGGTTTGTATTTCTATTGCACTAAATGTTGATAATATTTTATTTAGGAGTTTACTTATATGACTGATAAAAAATTACGAGGCGTTGCCTGCGATATTGCTCTAAGTACCAATGATTGAAATATCCAGCATCATATCTGCGGGAAAAAAGATGACTAAACCTCAATTCTGTGCTTTTTGTACAAATTCATCAAATTCATTGGTACAAAGATGACCTGTTGCAACACTGGAATAATAGTATGGAAATTAGGTAGCAAAATAATGTAAAAATCAGAAACTTCAATTGAAAGTAACTAGAAATCTAGATGGGTAATAATTGTTGAGTTTTTAGCAAAATTGAATTCTCTTTTGATTATGTAGTGTACTGCTAGTTTCATTAGAAACGTATACTCACTAATCATTAACCCAATGATTCATAAATAAAATAAAAAGATAGATGCTGCTGAAATGTACTTTCAGAGAGCTGAAAATAAAATTCTAAATCAAGAGTTAGATGCTGAACTATTGAAGTTGTTTGAAGAAATTAAAAACATAGACTCATTAATCGATATCCTTCATGATTCATCAAAAAGAAAATTTTAGTTAGATATCCTTAAAATAATAATCTTCACATACCCAACAACATTGCAAGAACTCTTACATGACAACGATAAATGCCCAATAGAGGTTGGAGTCTTTAGAGGGATTATCATCACGTCTAACATTCTTCATACCCTAAATTTAAGTTTCATGTTCAGAAACATAATTTCTCTAATCTTTATCCCCACGATTTTTCAAAAGCCAAATTTAGTCAGATATCCATGAATGATAATCTTCACCTATACCCAACCACATTACCCAAACTCTTACGGTAAAGTGATGCAGATTGCAGCTTCACATCAGGTGAGTCATCTCTTTTTCTTAAGAAAAATTGTACTCATTTTCGGTTCTTGATGCATGTCCACGAAGACTATCCATTCCCTTATATTAAGATGCCCAAATCTTTGATGTATTATTATTGTTAAAATACAAGAGACTAAGAGACATTTGAATAAACCGTGTGTTTTAAAAAGCACTACGGAGACATTATTATATATAGATAGGTTATAACTAATTACATGATATAGTTGATGTGAGACTATTCTATATACAAATATTCTTAACACTATATATATTTACAAATATCAACACTCTCCCTCAAGCTTGAGCATATAAGTCAAATGCACCAAGCTTGTTACATATATAATTAGTTCTGGGGCTTCGTAGAGATTTTGTAAACACATCTGCCAATTGATCATTTGAGTTGACAAAGCTTGTGACGATGTCGCCTGACTCGATCTTCTCTCTGACAAAGTGACAATCTATCTCAATATGTTTGGCCCTCTCATGGAAGACTGGATTTGAAGTAATGTGCAATGCAGCTTGATTATCACAAATAAGTGTCATTGGTCTTTCTTCTTCAATTTGAAGTTCCTTGAGCAACTGTTTTAACCAAATAAGTTCACATGTTGCCATTGCCATGACCCTATACTCTGCCTCGGCGCTTGATCTTGCAACGACATTTTGTTTCTTACTTTTTCAAAATATAAGGTTTCCTCCAACAAGTACACAATACCCAAAGGTGGATCGTCTATCAATAGGTGACCCTGCCCAATCAGCATTGGAGTATCCAATTATTTGGTTATGTCCTTTATCCTCATACACAAGACCTTTTCCTGGAGCACATTTGATGTATCTCAGAATCCGAATAACAGCATCCATGTGTTCCTGACAAGGGGAATTTAAGAACTGGCTTACCACACTGACTGCAAAAGAAATGTCAGGATGAGTGACTGTGAGATAATTCAACTTTCCAACCAATCTTCTGTACCTTCTTGAGTCAGATAGAGGCTCTTCCTGATTGGGTAGTAGTTTAACACTTGGATCCATAGGAGTATCGGCTGATTTAGCATTTAACAAACCTGTTTCTTCCAAAATATCCATAGCATATTTCCGCTGAGAAATCACCAAACCATCTTTAGATTGAGCTACTTCAATACCCAAGAAATAACGGAGTTTACCAATATCTTTTGTCTGAAATTGTTTCGAGAGATGTTGTTTCAACTAGAGTATTCCCTGCTGATCACTACCAGTTATGAAAATGTCATCTACATACACAATAAGATAAATACATCCTTGGAGTGAGTGACGATAAAAAACAGAATGGTCAGCTTCACTACGGATCATACCAAATTGTTGTACTACAGTGTTGAATCTGCCAAACCAAACTCTCGGAGATTGCTTAAGACCATAAAGAGACCTGTGTAGCCTACAAACGATATTCGTTGACTCCCCCGAGCAACAAACCCAGGTTGTTGCTCCATATATACTTCTTCAAGATCACCATGTAAGAATGCATTTTTTATGTCAAGTTGATGAAGAGACCAATGTCGAATGGCTGCAATGGCTTAAAGAAGTCTAATATATACCATCTTGGCTACAGGCGAAAAGGTATCACTATAATCCAACCTAAAAATCTGAGCGTATCCTTTGGCTACCAAGCGAGCTTTAAATCGATCAATCTTACCATCTGGACCAACCTTCACTGTATAAAGCCAACGACAAGTTGAGTTAGGCTCAACCACATTTCTTAACATGGCATTAGAGCTTCGTTTAAGATCCGGTGGGCCATCTTCTATGGTTTCCGCTATCGGACCACCCACCATTTATTTCCACGCTTTAGTTGTCTAGTCCCGAGCGTGAGGGGGTGTGTTAAGAGTCCCACATCGGACAATACATGGCATGAACATGTGCTTATAAGTGGGGGCAATCCTCACTCTACCAACCGGTTTTGTAGGGTTGAGTTAGGTCCAACCACATTTCTTAACGCTATATATATTTACAAATATCAACAATTATCATCTCATCTCGAACATCATCATACCATCTATCTCATTTTGATACTTCTTACCATTGCTGCATTATGCATTATAACAATATCGCTAACTGGTTGAAACCTTAGTTCTTTTTCATACTCATGATATGCCCACTTTCAATTTCAGTTTCATTTAGGAGAACCTTGGAATTTTGCAAACCCATTTTCCTATATACATCTCTGTACCCAACCACATTGCATGGACCCTTTCACAACAGTGATACAGATTCCACTTAACATTTGTTAAGGAAGCCTCCCTGTAAAAATAATAATAGTACTAATTTCCTATTCTTTATACATGTAAATGAAACCTGTCTATTCCACCCTCTATAGATGCCTTAGTTGTAGATTTATTAACTATCTCAAATGGAAGGGAAAATTTTTATTGGACAATTGTAAGATCGACGATGTTGTACGGAACAGAATGTTGGGTTGCAAAGAACCAACACGAAAATATAGTAAGTGTAGCAAAGATGAGGATGTTGTGTTGGATGTATGATAAGATTAGATGAGATAATACTCGAAATGACAATATTAGAGTTATTAGGTAGCACCTATTGAAGAAAGATGACGGAAACAAGGCTTAGGTGGTTTGGACAAGGTGGATTCTGAAGAATCATCCTTTTATTGAATAAGTTGCACTCATTTTCTTTTTTCAAACAATTGATAGTTGTTTGAATATTATAAAATATCATAATATCTTTTGTGGAGAGAAGGCATGTGGATTCTTAAGAATCTTCCTTTTATTGAATAAGTTGCACTCATTTTCTTTTTTCAAACAATTGATAGTTGTTTGAATATTATAAGATATCACAATATCTTTTTATATTAATTCAGCTTATCTTCAAATATCTTTTAGAAAACTCTTGTTTGCGAGTTTGTAGAGAAGGAGGAAGGAGGGCTTTGAAGAATATATGTAAGCTCTCTAAATCTCTCCTCCAATACAAATTGAGTTTCTCAAACTAGAGGGATTTTGAATTATGAATAAAAATAAACCCTCCAAATTGAGTTTCTCAAACTAGAGGGATTTTGAATTATGAATAAAAATAAACCCTCCAAAGTCCTTCCTACCAAAATCATTTAATTCTTTTCACTCTACCATCCTTTTTTTAAGCCCTCCTCCCTTCCCCTCCCCTCCAAACTCCCAAACAAACAACAACAACCCAGCCTTATTCCAATAAGTGGGGTTGACTACATGGATTAACTTGCAATATAACGTTCTATTCAGAATCATTCTTTTATCCAAAACCTTTAGATATTTTAAATTCTCAAACAAAGCCTTAGTATATTTATTTATACTAATAGATATCCGGCGAAGGCAGAATATCTCTTAGAATTTTCAATAGTACAATAAAAAACTGTCTTAAGAGTTTCCCAAAGATGGCTCATGTGTTATGTCGATAACCTTTAGTGGTTGATTTCATTTTTAAAATTATTCTTGAGAGGATCTAGGACCCAGCAGTAGTGGTGTGTGCCTGTAAAACACATTGGCTAGAGTCAGATAAGGAACATATGTGGATCTTGTTTATAAAATATTATAGTGACTCGGATCAGTCCTTTGCAGGCATGGTTGTTTGAAGGGTAGCTGTCCTTTTTAACAGCTCCTGTAACATGCAAGAAGCTGTTGGATGTGCATCAGGACATCCTGCTGTCCTGATCTACCTTTGAGGCATATGGCCTCCAATTAGAGCATCTCCAATTACAACAACAAAAAAGCAACTAACTTTGGGCTATATAACTACCACCAAGTAGCCTCTCTGTGTCGCATCATTATACAAGTAACTCACACACATTTTGCTTCACTTGGGTTATTTTTAAGCAAAATCCCTAGAGAGGACTGAGTCCTCTGATCTAGATGGTTTCCTTTGATCACTGGCTTGTCACATGTAGGTTATTGATGCATAAAATTTAATGATTATATCCTACGCATGTTTAAGATTTGAATCATAAGATATAATGGGAATTCAAATTCTGTGGTGTCATTTTAATAATTGTTATTTGTGATTAGATTATTTTATGAACATTTAATGATTTTTGGTCAGACATATATATAATATACATAGAGTCTAAATCGAAGCAAAATCTTGTTTTTGAATGATATGGATGTTGTTTTTACCTACAGGCCTGTGTAATCCAGAACAAAGAATGTTGGAACTTCATCAAATGGACAGCTGCATTCAGAGTCCAACTATAGAATGATGATTAGTATATGTGTTCGTGAAGCAAAGCAAAAAGCTAAAGGTAGCTGAGGAGGCCTTTGTCTATACATTTATCTTTCTAATTCATATATCTTCATGTCAACAGAACTTTGATTTTTTTTTTTCTGTAATTTTTTGTCTCACCTTTTTTAGGAAAGCTTTATGTAAAGCATGAGAAAATACACATAATTAAGAATGATGATATAAAGCATTGCACAGTTTTGAGTTGAATTTTGATTGTAAAATTTATACAGATACATAATTAAAAAAACTTGAGTATAATTTGTGAAGTATTTATCAGTAAGTTAAATATTTTTAGTTTAGTTTTGACACCCTTATTCAATTTGTCATTCATATTCGCCTATATCTAAATTGACTTTTAAACCTTATGACGTGGCATGTCATACACTACGCTCTAAATTGTCGCATCACAAAATTTAGAAGCTAGTTAAGCAGAATAAAAATGTTCAAAAAGATACAGTTTATCATACTCATTAATAAAGTTATACTATCATATTATCTGATTCATATAAACAATATTTTCATAGCAAAAGTACATATTTTTAAACTTTAATTATTGGGGAATTTATCTCGCAATACGTATGGTGGAATAGAAAACACCAAAAAAGAGGTATAGTATACCCCGAACTTATTCTTATCTAATATATTTGCTTTAACAGTTAAATTGATTCTCAAACCACTCTCCCCATTCTGAAGCAAACCAGTTTATATTATCATAATAAAACTTTTCTTGTGGATCTTCAACGTATATGCATTTCCAAGTTACATCAGAGGTCATTTTCTCAAACAAAAAGTATTTACATTCTCTCTCATATAAACAAAATTTGATTCCAATTGCTCATATATATTATAAAAAAGTTAAACAACCAACACAATTCTTTACCATTCAATAAACTTGCATTAACAACTTTGTTTTCTAAACTAGCCTACTTGACATATAATTTACATAAGTGTGTGAAATAACACAGATTAATTAATATTATTGAAAGAAAAAAGGCTCTAAAGAAATAGGAAATGACCCCATTATTATGTTAGTGTGTGTCGTAGTGGAAACCTAAACTTGAAAATTAATTTTTCATATTCTTTTTAACAATGGAACCTTTCGTTCAAGTCAAGCTTCTTAATATTATTTTTCTTAATGCTTTTATGAAAACTTATCACTTTTTATTGCTAAAAGCATCTCATTTGGGTATCATTCAATGTATTTTGTAGGCATGTTTTGAGATTAGTGGCTAAGAATCATAATTAGTGGTGGAATATGGGCCTCTCATGTTGGACCCATTATTGGCCCATCAAAAGTTAATCATTATGGATCATTGTTCTATTTTTGGAAAGCTTTTCAACGAATCAGAGCACAGAGGGACCCATAAAAATCCTATTTTATGTTCCAATTAGGTAAAAAAAAATAGTGTTAACAGTTTCCGAAAAATAAATAAATAAATATTGAACACGCCTCTTGGTGATTGGAGCTAAATATTGAACAGCCTAAGAACAAATATTTATTTTGATGGATGGAATAATAATAATAAAATAATTCATTTATTTTTTGTATAAAATTAAAATGCCATCTATATTTATGATTATCGATTAATAAATTGTAATTAGAGTATTTTCTTTTTGAAAAAATAAAATAAAAATAATTAGAGTCTTTGAAGTTCCTATAGTTATGTAGAATGCTACTCTTAGATTTCTTTTTAATGACAAGGAAGTGTGAAAGTGGCGTTATTAGGTGTCCAAATTAAAGCTACAAAGGGAACACTCTTATTAATAGTACAATACAACACAAACTTACTCCTACTCCAAAACAGACTTTGCAAATACATTATCTATAAATTAAAAAAAAAAATAATATTAATAATTATATTATCTTATTTTAAAATAACATATTAATTTTTTTCACTACACAAAATTTTAATTCTATTATACTCAATCTTTCTCTTTTAAATCTTATATTAATATAATCAATATTTTTTTCTCGTATTCTATTAATTTCTCTTATATTAAATATAATCAACGATAGATTATATTAATGAAATTTTATTTTAATTTTTTATTAAACAAAATTCATTTAATATTGAAAATAATTTAACTTTTATTTTAATTATTTATATAAGATAATTTTACACTAAAAATAATTATTATTTTCAAAATAAAACATGAGTATAATTATGTTAATCATCACAGTGTTTAGTGTGTAAACTCAAATCAATTTGAGAGCACTCATAGTAAGAATTTGTGAGTGGTCATAGAGAGGGAACAAGATGGAACATTAATGATTATGACATACTAGTACATGTTAGGTTTGAAAAAAAGGACTCAAAGATCAATAATTTCATACCATTCATATACATTTTTCTCCAATTTCAATCATATACTCCATACTTGAAACTTTGACCCTGGATAATTCAATTTATTAAAAAAAAATTCAACCAATTATAGTATTTTGAGTGCGCTCATAATATGGAGTATATTCCTTGTCTCTACTCCATAAAATATACTCAATTATCCCTAACAGTATATTCAATTAAACAAGATATAAATATGTTAATTTCTGAATATTTGATGGAAAATAAAAAATATATGAAAATGATTATATAAAATTTAATTTTATAATTTATGAGGAAAATAATGATAAATAAAAGAAGCAAGTACATAGTCATCAGTTTGATAAGAAAAAGAAAAGTACAAAGTCGTCATCTTCGTCACTTAGCTAGCAGTAGCATTGTAAGTTACTCAATCCAATCATAATAAATGTCATAATTTCAAAGAAAATATGTTAGCATATTCTAAAATTTTATATTTATTTAACAATTTTAAGATATTTAAAATTTAAATATAATAAAATAAAAATGAAAAAAAATTAAATTATAAATTATAAACTAAAATATTATATAAAATAGTGTTTAAAAATATTTAATAAAATACATTATAATCTTGTGATGAAAAAATTATTATCAAATAAATTTAATGTAGTAACTCATCACCTTCATCATGATTTTGCCACCCTAATACAAACACATAACTTAAATGATGATTTCTCAAGAATTTCATAAAATTAGATATGGCAGTAAAGATCAGAAATGACATCAAGATAAGATTCAATGAAATAGCCATTGTAGAAAGAATCTTCAGAGTTTAGCTCAGACAACTTTGAATGTACAATAAATTTCTATTTTCAAATGTGCTTGGTGGAATAATTCTAGTCACTAAATGTCATTTTCATTCTTTAATTTATTATTTTTCCTTATAGTCTTTGCTGTATTTACAAGTACTATGATAGTTTCTCTTCATTCCTACTGGCCATCACGTGCCATTGCAGTTCCTCAATTCCCTCAAATATTTAATAAAAATTAAAAACAAAAATAGTAATAATAATTTATGATTTATATTTAATATTCAAATGTGTATATAACTCAAATAAAAATGAGATAAAGTTAAAAAATTTAAATGAGAGAGAGAAGAAATGGCCTTTTATTATCCAAATTGATGATAGCTGTGTCTGACACACTTTCCTCATTGATATGCCACTTTTCACAGAATTGTACTATTTTTTTTTTAAAACCAGAAACTAGTAATAATATAGTGGATAGATAGAATCTTTATGAAAAACAATAAAGAGCAATATGGATCCAAAGTAATTGGTTGAGGATAAATACAATGACTGTAATGCGACAGAAACATGAGAGAGCTTCCTTTGGGAAAAACTAATCGGTTTCATTGTTTCAAAGTTCAAGAATCCAATGTAGAATGAACCTATATTTATAACCAGACAATAAAAGTTCATGAAATCACCTCTAAAATAACTTCTTATTATTATTGTTATTATTAATGTGTTTTTCATATTATAAATGCAAAATATTCTATACTAGTACATGTTTTAAGTGTATTTTAAATTGGATTAATTAAAGATAGAGATGATAATGGATAGGAATATGGTTAGGATATTATAGTACTTGTCTTTATATCCGTATTTTAAAAATTTCTCCGTACTCGGATTTATATATGTATAACCACTAATATTTGTATTTGTATTCGTACTCTATGAATATTTAAGTATATGTATTGATACCTATTTATCTATATTTTTAATAAAAATAATTGATCAATAATAATTTATTATGTAATTTTAAATTTTTAATAATAATAAAAAAAATAATATAAGGATGTTATTGTTGAGTTAATAAATAAACAAATATTTATATAAAAATGGATACAAATTTAATAGTGATGTATTTAATAAAATTGATAAATTAACTTGTGTACATAAGAATAAAGTAAACACAAATATATATTGTGCGGGTATGTGTATTGTCTGTGCTCATGTCCATCCCTATTTTAAGATTTTTATCCAACCCGTTATAGATAAATTTTGTATATACTCATTGGAAACGAATTTAATTGCCATCCATAATTAAAGGATTATTCTTTTTGGGAGAGTTTTTTCACTATGGAGCATTGAACATTGTGGGATTCCACATTCTTTTATTGGAGCAACACCTTTGTGAGAGATACACCACATATTCACCAAAAACTTTAAGGTGATAGGTGAATGGGTTCTCGCACTTATAAATACTTAAGTCTCCACATTTCCAACCAATATGGGTTTATTACCCATACTACTCACACTTGTAACATTCTCAACACTCTTCTTACTTCCACAAACTCTTATATCGCACAAAACGTTTCTTACTCACCACCTTTGTGGTGCTGCTGACACTCTTCAACGAAAAGTTTTTGACTCACCACCCTTGTGGTGCCGTTGACTTTCGATTTAAGTAAGTCAGTCTCTTTCTCAAACCAAAGGCTCATGATACCGTGTGTTAGAGAGTTTTTTCACTAGGGAGCATTGGACACTGTGAGATTTTTTTTAATAGAGCAACACCTTTGTGAGAGATACACTACATATTCACCAAAAACCTTAAGGTGATAGGTGGGTGAGTTCTCTCACATATAAAGGCTTAAGTCTCTATATTTCCAACT